TCATTCCGGTCCACCTAGTACATAGACTTCAAAGTATGATACATTTTTTGACTCCTAGGGTGAACAGAAAACCATGTGCAATGTGCATCATCTAATATCATCTTTTGTACACCGCTGAACTTAGGGACCCAAAATCGCCACATAAAACTTTTCAAACCTCTTTTATCATCTTCCAATCTGGATATATATCCCTTCATTTTCTCGTTTTTTATCCTCTCAGGTTTTTAGCCTCTAACTGTTCTTCTCGTATCAACTCGAGTATTTTACTAGAAATTCCCATTTGAGCAGGCTTTACTCGAATTACTAGCTCTTTTCGGCTCAATGCGTCAGCCACTACGTAGGCTTTCCTGGGATGATATAATATTTTGCACTCATAATCCTTCAATAACTATATCCACCTTTGTTGCCTCATATTTAACTCTTTTTGATCAAAGAAGAATTTTAAACTCTTATGATCAGTATATATCTGAAATTTGACACCAGAAATATAATGTCTCCATATTTTCAATGCAAACACCACTGCTGCATATGGAATTATTCTACCTCTTTGCATTAAAGGAGATCCTAAACCCACACCCGAAGTGTCACTAAAAATAATAAAGTCTTCTCCATCTTGTGGTAAGGCTAATATCGGTGCCTCACATAATACATTTTTAAGACGCAAAAAAGGCTTGTTGCTGCAATTCTGTTCAAACGAATTTCTTAGTGTTTCCAGTCAATAGAATCGCTATAGTTGAGAAACCTTCAAAAAAAATCAACGGTAGTACCCTACTAGTCCCAAAAATCTACGTATCTCTATTGGGTCTTTCGGCGGTTCCCATTCCATAACAACTTTTATTTTTATAGGATCTACCTTCACACCATATTCACTAGTGGTATGCCCTAGAAATTAAAACTCTTTCAGCCAAAGGTACTCAACCATCAACCTACCGACTTGCAGGAACCCATTCAACATTCCTCTCGATCACTTAAAAAAACATTGTGATCTATACCCTTCTATAACACACAATTCCTTTTTATAGTACAAGCTGCTACCTATGCAAAATCAAACGAAAACATGGCCACACACAACCAGAGAATGAGATAGTCGGTCGTAATCTTGTTCCAATTCAAAAATCTATAAACTACATAATAACTATACCAATAAATTCGGAACAAGTATCTCATGCCATCACACTCAGTCCACATACACCCCTCATGACCATATTTGATGAACTACCACAATATACAACCCAAGGGTAACACATAACCAACCATAGATCTACTACATTCCTTATTCCTTACAACCTTACCCAAAGGGTGAGGTACCAGTAGATCTAATCGAAATGACAAACCTCAATCGCTAACAGAAACATCCTCATGAATGGCCGAAGCAAAGATCCCATACCTTGATTAAAACTGAACAGATCCTACCAATATGTGACTAGCTCGATAGAGCTTCCGAATTCATCCATAAATGATTTTGAAACCCTGGTTAGATCAATACAAAATACCAACCCTACCGAAGCAACATGCCGAAATTGGATTCTACGCAGATCTAAAGCCATACCTGAAAAACTAAACAACGCCATTGTGACATACGAACTCCCAATAACCAAGGACATCTACCAAACTCAAGCCTCCTATTAACAATAATTCCACAACCAATAATTGTGTAACGCTTGTTCCAGGTATCATTTATTTCTCATATTTTTAGGGTTTTGCACTAGGACTCGACGAGTTTGGGTGCCCCAACTCGACAAATAGAGATCAATTTGGACGCGGGACTTAGGGTCTACACGATGAGTTGGAAGGCCCCAACACGACGAGTAGACAGTGTAAAGGAAAACCCTAATTTTCCAGGTTGTGTACCCTATTTAAAGAACTTATGGTTCATTTGTAGCCTCCCTCATCGTCCTTATAGGCCAGAGAAACCCTAGTTCGAGCCTTATACCTTCTTGGGTATGTGAGAGAGCTTATGAGAGTGATTTTGGTGTGGTTGTGAAGAAATTTGGAGCTTGAAGAGATTGGAGCAAGTAGAGAGGTAGTAGATCTGACATCTGCTCTGTTTTGGCAACCATCTTGATCTATAAAGCTGCTACCTTAACCTTTATTTTCTTAGATCTCATCTTATGGAAGTATATTGTCACTTTTCGTGCATAATGGTATCATTCTCGGGTTTAAACTTGCCATGAGGATATGGTTTCAGATCTGGACACCTCTAGGCCTCCATGGACATAAAGTTTCTCACTTTATATAGTCTAGACCCTTCTCCATGCCCTAAACCTTGTATGAGACTTATTTTAATTGTTTTAGCCTCTTGAGGCCTTGTATGCATGTAAAGTTTGCAACTTTACGTGGCATTTCAGTCCTAAGGGACTGGATCTGTATTTTGATGTAACGCCCGATTCTCGGTATGTATTTCAAATAAATTTATTCATTTTTATACAGGATCTCGACGAGTTGGACGCCCCAAACTCGTCAAGTAGGAATGGAATTTGGACGCGGGATCTAAAGTCTACTTGTCGAGTCGAGAGCCTCAACTCGACGAGTAGGGCTGCCATAATGAAACCCTAATTTTCAAGGTTTAGCACCCTATTTAAACACCTTAACTCCAAAGGCTGGCCTCATTTACAGCCTCCATCATCCCAAACACTAGCCAAAAAACCTAATCCATTTTTGGAGAGTTTTGAGCCATTTTGTGCATTCTTTGTGATTTTGAAGCTTGTGAAGGAAAGAGAAGCTTGCGGTTTCAAGAGGAAGCCAGTAGATCTAGAGTTTGAGCTGCATTTCTAACTCATTTGATGTATAAAGTCGATACATTGGCTTTTCTATTACTTAGATCTTCATTTAGGGTGGTATGTTGTCACTTTTGGGCCATATTGAAGTCATTTTTGGGATTTGCGTATATCACGAAGTTGTGACTCCAGATCTAGGCACTCATGAGCTTATGAGGCCTGAAGTTGCCAACTTTATCAAGCGTTGGCCTTTCTCCATGGCCTAGATCTATTATATAGCTTAGTTTTGGTGTTTCTAGTTTCATGATACCATGCATGGACGTAAAGTTAGCAACTTTACGTGGTAACTTAGCCCTAGAGGACCATATCTATGGTTTGGAAGCATTGAAATTGATTGGAAGCGACTGAATGGATTTAGACTAAAGGGAACTCGACGAGTTGTTCATCCAACTCGGAGAGTCGGATCGTGGTCCTCCAACCTTTTCTGTTATTAAGGAAACTCGACGAGTCTAGGAGATGACTCAACGAGTTGGCCATGGTTTTTGGGTTTTGAAGATTGAAGAACTCGACGAGTTCAGGGAGGAACTCGACGATTTGTAGTAAAATTTCCCGATACTGTTGATAAGAGAAACTCGATGAGTTCATGCAAGGACTCGATGAGTTGGATCGTGATTTAAGAGGTTTATGATTTATGGGACTATGCGAGTTGAGTCAACCCAGAACGTTGACTTTCACTAAAAGGTTGACTTTGACTTGGACTATTTCCAGAGTTGACCCTTAAGGGGGTTATGAGTATGAAAGGGTAATTAAAGGAGATTTTGTGTGTAGGAGTTTGAGTGGAGTTGATTGCAGAGCCGAGGACAGTTCAGCTACTTCACGACATTTGAGGTGAGTTACCTTCAAGTAGAAGTGGGTCTAAGGAACCAATGTCGGACCACTAGTAGGTGATTATAGATAAGATGATTGTCTTTGTGATAATTGCCGTGTATGCTACTATCTGTTATCACTTATGTGCTAGTATGTTATGATATTATGTGATAGTAGTAGGAGGGGTGAAATAGTCCCCGATTACCGGTTGAAAGAGACCGAAGGGGTAGACAGTACCCATGTATGCCTAGAAGTATGCTTATGATATGTTACTATGTGGTAGTGGTAGTGGTGAAATAGTCCCCATAACTGGTTGAGATAAACCGGAGGGGTAGGTCCGACACCCCGGTATGTCTGACAGGGGTAGGTTGGGCACCCCGGTATGCCTAACTGGGGTAGGTTGAGCACCCCGGTATGCTCAGCAGGGTAGGTCGGGCACCCAGATATGCCTGACATTATGTTTATTGTATGGTATGTGGTATGTTGGTGGAACTCACTAAGCTTCGTGCTTACGGTTTGCAGTTTTGGTTTCAGGTACCTCTTCTTCGAAGGGAAAGGATCCGGCATGACTGCAGCGCATCACACACTCGATTTTCCGCATACGAGACTCCTAGGATTTGTACTTTGACATTATTTTCTTATGATATGATTTGAGAGATATTTTACTTATGGTTTTTTATGATATGAGATAACACTGCTGGCATTTTCGCTAAACGTGTTTTTACGAAACTTTAATTTAAAAATCAAAATTTTGGACTTAAACTTTGGGGTGTTACAAGTTGGTATCAGAGCCTTGGTTTGAAGGATTTGGACACACCTTCGGGGGGTGTCTGGACTCAAATCGAGGGTTTGAAAGATTTTACAAGAAAAATAAATTTTCAAAAATTTAAAATTAACGTTTTGAGAAAGAACAAGGAGTGTGATGTCTGCAATCAGCCGAGCTCAAGTAAGTTTTCCCCAAGAGACCTATACATCACTACTAGAATATATGCCTTTAATGATGCGCAAAACACGACACGCACTCATTTATGTTACGCAAAAGAGAGTGACCTTATAATAGTGTTACCTCTTAAAAAATTTTAAGGATTTACGTCACGCATTATTGTGTGCCCTTAAATTAGTGTCTCAAGAAACAAAATTAAAAACAAGGAGGGCGCTTTTTATTAAACGCGCGTCCTCTATACCTGTCGCCTTATAATTTTAATGAAACGCGCTTAGCAAACAACCAGGGAAATGAAATCGCCAAAATTTTAAAGTCCGTCGTTCTTTTCGACCTTCTTTCTATCTTTCATCTTCGCAATCGACTCTCTCCTCTTCGATCCGCTTCTCCGCTACTCCTGACCTCCTTCTTATTGGTCTCATCAAACATCTAGTTCCTTACCTTTTCCGTTGACCATTGGTCCTTCCCCAGCGGCCATGCTCCTACCGAACGATCATCTGTCCAAGAACAATCAGTGGTGTCTATTTACTTTTCTTCTTCTGTTAACTTATGTAACTCGAATCGTAGTTAAATCCACTTCCACGGACGTAATTAAATTTAGCCAAAGGTCTAGGGTTTCGGGTATTGGTGATTAATATCGATAGTTCCGACGATGATTCATCTACTTCTGGTAATGTAGTTAGTAACGACAAGAGGTCTAGGGTTTCGACTATTGGTGGTGGTGACGAAGGTCATGGTCATCGACTTCACAGTTGAGTTTTGTTTTCGTTTTTAGGTTTTTTCACCATGTTTTCACTTTCTTTTTCTATGAAATTAATCCCTTTCCACATTAATCATGCAGGAAACCACATGCATGCCATATCCAGCCAATCACAGCCACTGCCACTCAGGCACCTCCTGCTGTTTCAAGTAAGAAGTTGTATAAGCGTTCATAACATGCCTTCTATCTGTTTGATGTTATACTAAAGCTACGTTTTAAAATTTTCCTGTAACAAATTCTCCCTACTTTGATTTTCCATAGGGACCAGTACCGGAGGGAAGACCAAGGTTGGAATCAATGGTATGTAGTCAACGACCCTTTTATTGATTCCAAGTACATGGTAAGGGTTTATGCATATGATGATTTTGTAAAAATTACATCAATTTATTTGAAAGATAACTATGAGATGATTCATGATTTATGATTGACCTTTTTAGTCTTACTTGTTGAAGTATGATTCTACTCATGGCTTATTCAAAGGAACCATCAACTTGATGAGTCCACTTTAGAAATCAATGGGAAGCAAATAAAAGTAACCATCCAAAGGTATATATTTATCCCTTTTGTTACTTGTGAATTTACTTTTTTTTATCCTAAGAAATAAAACACACATTTTGTTCAGAGATCCAGCCACAATTCCACAGGGTGATTTTGGAGCTGACTATATTCAGAGATCTAGCCACAAGAAGGTAAATGTAAACCAACAAATTTTGGTTCACTTCTAAAATACGTTTGTACCCCTGGGATGATTTTGTTGGTGCGAATGACTCGATGTGCAAGGTAGTGCTAATAAGGTGGTGATCTCAGCTCCATCAGCTGATACGCACATGTTTGTTGTAGGGGTAAATGAGACCACATACAAATCAAACATGGATATTGTATCCAATGCCAACTGTACTACTAACTGCTTAGCCCCTTTAGCCAAGGTACTTATCTTTTCCTATATGTATGGATAAAATGGCTGAATGGTTAAATGCCTAATTCAAAAAGAAACAACTCTTAATGTTTTTTTTATATAATGGTTCTCTTTTTATTTTTATATATAGGTGGTTCATGAGGAGTTTGGTATCATTGAAGGTTTGATGACAACTGTACATGCAACCACAGGTGTTGACATTTATTCAAACCTTCATTTTTCATTCTCTTTATATATAAAATTTTCATTTAATTTAAATAAGTTGTTGTTATTTTATTTGTTTTCAGCTACACAAAAACGGTTGATGGACCTTCAATGAAGGATTGACGTGGAGAACGTGGTGCTGCACAAAACATCATCCCTAGTTCCACTAGTGCTACCAAGGTATATATTATTCTTATATAAAATGAAATTGTAAATTTTTATATTCTTTTTTATAAATCTTTTTATATTTTATAAAAAAATTTAGGCTGTGGGAAAGGTGTTGTCAGAGCTAAATGGAAAGCTTACTGGAATTGCTTTTAGGGTTCATGGTTTGATGGGTTTAACCAACCAAATAGTCTTAAGTTATGTTCCATAATTGCCCTTGGTACATGAACGATGCTCTCATTCAGTCGTCCATCAAATCTTCTGAATACATCAACTGGTATGATTATGATGTCATACCTTTTTTTATTTTGCTTGCTTGCCACCTCATCTTATTCATTTTGGATTCTCTATGGTTCTCTCTTCCTACCTGCTTTACTTTTTGCAGCTGGAGTCACTTCTATGGTTTGTATTGCAAATGTAGGTACATTCTCTACCCATTTGACCCATTGGAAATAAAATTTATCCCAAAATGACGAATTTGCCCTTTCTATTTTTCAGGCTATGCGTAGCCTGTCTGTGGATTACTCGCTAGAGCTATCTGAAGCAGACATGCTTGTCTTTTTAGAAATTGTCATATATAGTAATGAAATTGTTTAAAAAATGGGTCTAAGTGATGCAAACATTGTATGGAAATTCTTGTTCTTCCCTATGTGTCCATTTATACAGAGAAGGTGGACTATTGCCTTACTTGTGCATTGTATTTGTTCAGAGTTGTATTTAAGTATGTAATATGTATGTCCTTAAACTTGATTATTTATCTTTAAGTGATGCAGGTATCACATCTTGAAGCGTTAATTGAACCAATTGTTTGTTTCTTTCACTTGTATGGAAATTCTGGTTGTTGCTTTCACTTTGAATTTTAATTGACACCAATTACTAATTGTCTATATAGTTCTAGCAATTCGTTAACCCACTTCATATTTCTCTTTCCACCCAAGATGCATAGATTAGTTCTTTTTCTTTTATTTTGTTTATTGCATTTGGCTACTTCTAATAATTTTAAAATTAACCTCACGAAATGAATTGCAGGTGTTTGCAACTCCTGAAGTTCAAATGGGATTCCATCCAGATGCAGGGGCTTCATTTTATCTTTCTCTTCTCCCTGGTTATTTAGGTTGCAATCCAACTCTTAATTCATTATTTTTTATTTTCATCATTTCCAAGAATAAAATATTCTTAACCCTTCGGCATTCTAAATCCTAATTCTGTTTTTCTTGTGTTTTTGTAGGTGAATACTAACCATGGTTGGTTTGTTGACATGTCCAAATCATATGAAGCATGAGGTACTAATAACAATTTTTTATTTAATGTATGCTTATTCATTTCATCAATTACACTTATATATTATTGACTATTTACAAATGTGGAATCCTCTTGGAGTAGTTGTTGTTATTACAACACTGTGGAAGGCCCCTGGACCACAGTGAGACTAAACTATGTTGCACACGCTGCCTGCTGGCCATTAGGAAATGTTGTAGTTGCAAGTGAATTCCTTGTAGAGGATGGAAATAGATATGTGAATATCAGATCTTTGGTTTCAGTTACCAACAACACAAATTTAGTACTCGAATTATGCCTCCAGCTTGATGCTTCTTCTAAAGAGAATTTGGACACCTTAGAAGATTCCAGAACTGATACAGATGTATAGAAACAGATTGTTATTGGAGAACTGAAACCTAAAGAAAGTCTTCCACTTCCACTTTTTGGACTTGTTCCCCAAAAGTTGCAAATTATCAAGAAATCCAGAGGCTCGGAACCACCACCCTAGGGTCAAAACATGATATATACTTCCGAATGTGTAATACCCGAAGAGGCTCCTCCGGTCAATGTTGTAGACGAAGTCAAAGTCTGATGCCAAATGCAACCAAGCAAGCACTATTACCTGTTGTTTACGTGAATCATGTTTTTCCATTGTCAGGTACTATAAACCATAAACTTGTTATTTATTTTTAATTTTTCTTTTTTGGGTGGTTTTTTAATTTTCTACCATTTTAAATACAGTAAGGTTAAGAGGGATATAAATTAAAAAGGGAGCAGGTAGCTGATGTAAGTAGTCGATTTGAAGATTTGTGGAGCTGGTGGATAGAGCATAGGTTTGTATTTGAAGATTTAATTATGTTATTCTAGGGATTTATATTTTATTATATGTATTATTAATTATTAATCATTGATTGGTATATGTTATTGCAGGGATTTGTTTTTGAATGATATGGTTGATATGGAGTTTGAGTTCATATATATATATATATATATATATATATATATATATATATATATATATATATATATATATATATTGTTGGATAAGGTGTCTAAGTCCATAACTATTTCTGGTATGTACTTGACCCGGTTTTGCATGGTCCATTTGGGTTGCATGGCATCATGCATTTGGATAGACTAAAATGAGAGAAATAACACTTAAGGTTTATTAATATATTATAAGTTCTAATATATTAGTAATATTATTTAATTAGTATTGATCAAGAATTAATTTGGAATTAATTAAGTGATCAAAAGAAGACTAATTAAATATATGGGTTGATTGTGTAAATCATCCATACTTGTATAGTGGGCTAGATGCTCCATGGATTATCAAGTTGGGCGAAGGTCCATAGGATGCTCCATGGATGCTCCATGGCAGTTACAAACCCATGGGTCATGGAAATGAAGAGTCATGTCACATTAGGGTTTACATGGTGTAACCCTAATTGTAACACACTATATAAAGGATATGAAGCTCACCAAAATCGGCCACTAGATGCAATGTAGAGGGAAAGTCGATTTCTAAGTGTGACATTCTCTCTCAAAGTTTATTCCAGGAGCATTTGGTGTTGTGTGAAACATTTGAGGCATCACACTTGGGGTGCTAGGATCTCAAGGTTTTCAAGGAATCAAATCAACTACAGCGTATGTAATTCTAGCTATCCTTTTATGTTTTAAAGTTTCCCATGTATTCTAGATTGGATTATGAACCTTGGAAAAAGTATTTTGCATGTATTTTAGACAAACATAGATCCAAGGTTTATAGGGTTGCATGTACACCTTAGGAGTGTTAGAATGCTCAAAACCCTTCATAAATATATATATATATATATATATATATATATATATATATATATATATATATATATCTTACTGTTTTTTCATTTGAGCTTATTTTAATATGCATTTGTTGTTGGTATATGCAGGGTTGTTCATATAGTTCTTAAACAGAACTATGAAATGGAAAGGCCTTTAGCACCCAGGACTCTAAGAGTTTATTCTCCATATTAGTTGATGATTGCTAGATGTACGCCAGTTACATTCAGGCTTGTAGATATGTCTGCAAAAAAAGCAAAACGAAACCCTTTTAAGTCAAAAAAGACGAATGAGGGAATCTTAGAGGAGATCACTGAGGAGGAATTTCATGAAGGCTATACCATTGCTTCATCTCTCAACTTCAAACTATTGGGCCTGTTTACCTCCATTAGCGACAGTGGAAATGATCATTTTAGGGATCTTATTGATCTTACTCCACTTTCTGACATGGTAATTATATTTATCTACTTACCAATGATATTCATTTTTTTATGTGAACTCTGTGAGTTCATTTATCTCCTATGTGTTTCTTAGGATGGTTCATTGGGTGTCTCTGCTTATGATGCGGACAAGAACTGCATGCACCTCTTCGTATCATCAAAAGCAACCCCCTATCAATCTGTTCCAGCAAAGGTTAGTTACGAACAACTTTTTTGAAAGTTTAGTTGGTTTGTATTTCTGTCTAGAACTTAAAACTTTTTCATTGTCCAGTTTAGGTAATCAGTGTGCGTCCGTTTATGACATTCACCAATAGACTTGATCAAGATGTCTTGCAGACCACCAAACGAGCCTGGTTGCTTTTTTCCAGCAAGAAGGGTAAAATGTTCATTTTACCTTCTTCATATTCAGATCATTCATACAGTCCCAAAAAGAAAACAATCTTTGTTAGTTTGTTAATATAGTACTTTTAGGTATGTTTCTTTTCTAGTCCAAATAAAGAAGAAACTGTTGGTATGAGACTAAATCACTAAACGACCATTTTAACCTTACATTTCTTTTTTGCAAGATAGAAGCACAGTAGTTTTGGATCGATACCTTCTAGCAGAAGATATCGTGTACGTGTTCTTGTGCTGCTATTGTGGATTCGGGAACATCTTTGCTTACTGGTCCAACTGTATGTATCTCACATGAAGCTTCTGTTAGAACTATTAATCTCAGAGATTTCAAGTTTTTCATATTTCTGTATCTAATTAGTTTGTAAATTTCTATTACAACTTCTATTGATTTGTTTATCTTTCCATGGAACGATTATTCGTATAACACTAAATTTTAGGCAATGGATTGTATTTTTTGTATATGATATATTATTTTCTATTATGAGACATTAAATGAAAATTTAATTTGAAAATTAGTAAATCTATAAATAATATTTTTTTTTAACATTTAAAATTACGATACGCAAAAATGTGTTTCGTCTTTATTTATGAAATGGACTTTCTTGACAGGGGCTTTAATGATACGCAATGCGAGTCGTAAATGCGCGTCGTAAGGTTACAACACGCAAATGCGTGTTGTCTTCCTTTATGACAGGGCCTTCCTTGATATGCATTGCGTTTCATAAATGAGTGTCGTAAATGTGTCGTAACTGCGCGTTGTAAATGTGTGTCGTAAATAGACGACACGCAAAAGCGTGTCGTCTTTCGTTATGACAGGGCCTTCCTTGACACGCATTTGTGTGTCGTCTGAGCGTTTTACGACACGCATTGTGTGTCGTAAAATGCTGTTTTTCTTGTAGTGCATGTTGATATGACATATGATATAATTATGAGAATTGCATACTAGATTAGGGCTAAGGATCTAGGATAATTTCAGAAGGTTAGGTCTAGTCCTATTTCGCAGCTCGTGTTTGAGTCCAACCGTTGTAGGGTAGGACCTCTCATTCGAAGAATTATCTGGTCTTAGTAATATGTAATGGTATTCGCGAGCTAGATAGGGAGAGATTGCAGGGACTTCTTATGCAGCTGATGGCAGAGAGTAGGTCGGAGATTACCCTAGGGTAAGCCTAGGATGAGATTAGAATGGAGAGCAATAGTAGTAGAAGGGACTTGGTGAAGTCAAGGCAATCCTTGAGGAAAGTACGGATAGATGTGGAAGGTAGTATGGGCCCGTACTACTGAAAGCAGAGGATCCGTACTCGAGTCAAAGAGGGTTGATATAGAACTAGGGAACTCGTAGGTTATGTACGACCCTCATGATTATGTTTTTTTTTCAGAATGGTGGTGACACGTCACGGAGCAGGAGGTTTAGGCTCTGGGTCAGGATCAGGTTCAGGTTCGGGTTCCGAGCCAGTCGATGAGGGATTGCGCGAGTTCATCGTATCCGAGATTACGAGAGGCATCCTTCAGTCGATTCTCGGTGATTTTTGAGTCGATCAAGGAAGTGATCATTGAGGTGATGGAGGATCGCCTTAGGGCATTACAGAGCGACATTGCACTAGGCCAGTCAGGGACTCGCACGCTCTCCTTCAAGGATTTCAGGGGATGCGGTGCAGCAGACTTTTATAGGGTGAAGGACCCCATCGTGGCGAGGAGATGGATTGCAGACATCGAGTAGGCGCAGTTGACGAGCTTCTGCCCTGAGAGGTCAAAGGTCTGGTATGCTGCGGGACGTTTGAGAGACAGAGCGAGAGACTGGTAGGAGGCAGTCAGTGACACTTTGGGAGCCCCAACCATTGAGGCTATGACCTGGTCAGACTTTTTGACCAGGTTTAGGGCTGATTTTGCGTCGGCTGTGGAGCTTCAGCAACTGGCCAGGGAGTTTCTGTATATGAGGCAGACTACTGAGACGGTGATGGAGATTACTGCCAAGCTCAGGGAGAGGGCCTTCTGGTGCCTCAGTACGCGGGGGATGAGGAGATGCAGAAGACCCAGTACAACAACATGTTGAGAGCTGATATTTGGAAACATGTAAGCTACTCGGCATGCCCGAACTTGGATGACATGTTTGCGAGGGTGAGGAAAGGGAGATTGATATAGAGCACATCAGGAAGAGGAAGGCGGAAACAGGGCAGGTGACATGGGTTTCTGGGAAGAAACCCAAGGGATTCGACTCGAGGTTGAAGGGCCACCAGGGCCGGAGCCGCTGTGGGAAGTGCGACAAGCCACATGAGGGAGTTTGCAGATTGGGGGCATCGAGCTGCTAAATGTGGCAAGACTGGCATTTTGGTAGGGATTGTACTGCCCCTACCCCCACCTTTCAGACATCGGACCTGATTTCCTTTCACTGCAATCAAAAGGGCCATAAAAAGGTCAACTGCCCGAGATTTACATCAGCAGCGCCAATGTCGGCGCCAACTCCAGCGACCCTGCAGATCACAGATGGCCGACAGCACAAGTCAGATGCTCCAGTGGTTAGGAGTCGAGCCTTCCATATTACCACCGAGGAGGCGCGTGCCACACCAGATGTGGTGACGGGTATGTTTCTTCTACCTATCTCTTATATTAGGTCAGTTTTGATATTTATGTTTTATGTATTATGTTAGGATCGTTCCATGTGAATGGTATTCCAATATTGGTGTTATTTGACTCGAGGGCTACTCGATCATTTGTATCCCTTGCACTCAGCAAGAGGTTTGCTGAGTCATCCGACACATTGGATTGTCCATTAGAGGTCGAGATTGCGGATGACCGATCCGTCCGGGCATTATAGGTATTGACTGGTTGAGCCCTAATGGGGAGGTGATCGATTGCGAGAAGCAGTTGGTTTGTGTCAGGACCACAAGTGGGGAGAGTTGGTTATTCAGGGCGAGAGGCCGCAACGTAGGCTACCTTTGTGTTCGGCAGCGAGGGCTAGGCACTACTTTCAGCAGGGTTGCACAGGTTATGTCTCCTACGTTATGGATACCCGGGAGGCGGGTAAGGCGACCGTGAGCGATGTGCCAGTTGTGTGGGAGTACCCCGACGTGTTCCCAGAGGAGTTGCCTGGGATACCTATTGAGAGGCAGGTGGAGTTCCGGATTGACCTCATTCCTGGTGTGACACCTATAGCCAAGGCACCAAATCGGTTGGCACCTCCCGAGATGCAGGAGTTGTCTACACAGCTGCAGGAGCTGTTAGACAAAGGATTTACCTGGCCGAGCAGTTCGCCGTGGGGAGCCCTGATTCTGTTTGTGAAGAAGAAGGATAGGTCCCATCGGATGTGCATAGATTATCAGGAGCTAAACAAGGTAACGGTGAAGAACAGTTACCCACTCCCGAGGATTGACGACCTCTTCGATCAGCTACAGAGGGCATCTTAGTTCTCCAAGATCGATTTGCGTTCAGTATATCACCAGATGAGAGTAACAGATGAGGATGTACAGAAGACTGCTTTCCGGACTTGCTACGGTGATTACGAGTTCGTGGTGATTCCGTTCAGGATCACCAATTCCCATGCCGCATTCATGGACCTCATCAACCACGTATGCAGACTGATGATGCATTGGTATGTGATAGTCTTTATCGATGACATCTTGGTTTACTGCAAGATGCATGAGCACCACGAGGAGCACTTACGAGAGGTGTTGGATACTATAAGGAGGGAGATCTTGTACGCCAAGTTCTCCAAGTACGAGTTCTGGTTGCGCGAAGTGCAGTTTCTGGGGCACCTTGTCAACCAAAACGGTATTCTGGTCGACCCGGCCAAGGTGGAGGTCGTGATGAGATGGGAGGTTCCGAACTCTCCATCTGAGATTAGTATTTTCCTCAGTTTAGCTAGCTATTATTAGAGATTCATTAAGGATTTTTCCAAGATAGATGTACATCTAACCCGAATGACGAAGAAGGCAGTTGTTTCTCGTTGGGGGCCTGAGTAGCATGTAGCGTTCGAGACCTTGAGGTAGAGGTTGTGCGAGGCGCCGATCTTATCCCTGCCAAAGGGCACTGATGACTTCATGGTATACTGTGATGCGTCCATCTGGGGTTTAGGTGCAGTGCTGATGCAGAGATGGCACGTCATCGGCTACGCTTCGAGGCAGTTGAAGCCTCACGAGGCGAAATACCCGACGCACGACCTAGAATTGGGGGCGGTTTTTTTTGCCCTCAAGATTTGGCGACAATACCTCTATAGGGTCCGTTGTACCATTTCACGGATCACAAGAGATTGAGGTACCTCATGGATCAGGAGAATCTGAACACGGTGCAGCGTCAGTGGTTTGGTGTGGTGAAGGACTACGATTGTGAGATCCTCTATCACCCGGGGAAGGCCAATTTTATGGCCGGTGCACTTAGCCGCAAGGCATTCGCAGCCCCGATCAGAGATATTTGTATGAGGATAACAGTAGTGACTCTACTTTTCGAACAGATCCGAGAGGCCCAGCAGGAAGCTATGAAAGAGGAACATAGGAAGAGTGAGCGTATTGTGGGTCAGGTTTCCTCCTTCGACTATGATAGCCGCAGGTTGTTGACACTCGATCGTAGAGTGTGGGTTCTCTATCATGGAGTTGTTGGATTAGATGTCTAAGCCCATAACTTTTATTAGTATGTACTTGACCCGAGAGTAGCATGGTCCATTTGGGTTGCATATCATTAGGACAATTTGTTAGGATGGACTCTTGAGAGAAGGTTATATATGATTTATTAATTTATTATAAGTACTAATATATTAATATGAAATCATATGGTTTTAATTAGTATTGATCAAGAATTA